CCCCAAAACCCCAAAACCCCAAAACCCCAAAACCCCAAAATGTTTAGGTTATATGGAAATTTTATTACAAGATGGAAGAAATAGAAACTTCTCGAGTAGATTTTTTAGAGCATAACCCTGATTCACCTGCATCAATATCTTCAATTTACGAACATGTGGCTCCTCAAATGCGTTTCGAGGTGAGTAAATTAGAAGAAAACCAAACTTCCCAAAATTCAAATAGAACTATTCAGTAAGTATAGTTCCTATTTCGTCCTTTAACTAGAATAAGTCTGGGAGAAGGCCAGAATGGCCTTCTCCCAGACTAATGCTTTTTTGTAGCCAAAAGGGGATTTTCTCTCGTAAGAACAGTAATGGAGAGAATCATAAGTGAGTATCATTCTATAGCAGGACGCAACTCACCTTGTTTAGGAAAATTCCGTACAGAAAAATATTAGAAGGGCTAGCCGCCAGAAGGCTAGCGACCAATATGTTAAAGTAGGGACTTCCAGACCTCAGGTTTTGCCCATCCCAGAAGTATGGAGCACTTAACTAAAAGCTGTGATAAAAGTACTTCAGATGACTAATCCATTATAGGGATTAGTTCTCTCGAAAACTATTTTGAAAGGGATTCATATGGACAGCAGAATTATCAGCGGCTTAATTTTTACAAATTTTCATCACCACTGTAAGTTAGCAATAAGAGATTTATGTAACAGAGAGTTGAGAAATAAACCAAGCTCTGGAATTCAGAGAACAAGGTCTTATAGCAAAGTTGTTAATAAGTTTTTAAGCAGTCGGAATAAATCTCTTGATCAAGGTATTTGAGAATGATATGCTTTTAGATAATAGAAAGCAACATTCTCAAGCTGGGAAAACTCGTTTCAAGCCAAACATTCAGAATTATGACTTGAGATTCAAATCGCAGGGAATACAGCATGAGGCTCCTCGTGGGAATAATTTACAGGAATTCTTACAAAAAGATTCGTCATCTCATACTCTTCCTAGAACAAGAGGCAAGAATACTCAATTGCAGAAAATTCAGTTGGGAAGTCATAATAATGACTATGATCCGTACTTCCTATTTAACCTCTAGTGCTGAGGATTCCCCGATGAGGAATGAACATATTAGGAAATTGTACCTGAATAGGAAGTCTAAGGTACAGAACCAGAGGAAGATAAGCAGCTTCAGTACAAATAGGAAGAGCCTTAAGCAATTTCAGCATAAGCATAATTCTAATAACTATTCCTTCGGCAACTTGGACAAGAAGCAAGTGAGATTTGAGACCTTGAAGGTTCAGCATAAGAATTCCATGCTGTTCAAGTCAATGAGAGAAAAGTTTGGATTAGGTATGGATATCTTACACATAATTCCTTTGCATCAGACTTTATGCGTCATCAGGGATTAATACATTTGGGCTTTCCTAATTTCTCGAATTTTGAGATATGAAGCATGTGTTGTTAGAATAATTATCAATATTTATCGGTTCTGAAAATTTAATTTGGCTGAATGTCCATGAAATGTAGAATATTTTGCATTAATGCTGTTGTTCATAGTCTTCAGAAGACTTGTACCAAGTTCATCTCCTCAGAGGGATAAGAGCTCATTTCAAAATTTACAGAAGAAGACTAATAAAAAACAAATGAGAGTTTATGTATAAAAATAGGGAATGCTATAGAATTTTCAATTATCAAGCTCAAAAAGGGGTTTTGGGGTTTTGGGGTTTTGGGGTTTTGGGG